TTTTTTTAAGTATCCTTAAACTAATAAGAGGGCTACAAAAAAATTAATAAGTATCTATTACTCTAACCGTTTTTCAGCTAAAAAATTTACCAATCTTGTATAGATACCTAAAGCTGAATTTCGAATTGATTCTATTTATATGTTATATTTTACAGTGAAATATAAATCGAAGATATTTATATATTACATAATCCACTGAAATATTCAACAAAATTTGTCTACATAAATGGGCGTGGCACGGTCTTGTTTTTCATATATTTATAAGAATAAAACTAGCTTGCATCACCTTTTACCGGAGTCGAAGGTATTGACTGAATCACTTTATTGTAGCTGCGTTTGTTCAATATTTGAGCTTGAATTGTTTGCGTAGTCCAAGTAAAGGCAACGCTGTAGTATTCCATTTGTCTGATTAATTGCAAATCATAAATCACTCGACTGATTTTTATCCTTTTTCACCTGCCAAGAGTCTTGATTTAGTTGGGAGGGAGAGAAAAGGATTTTCAGATTAACTCTGCTCTTTTCACTTTATGTATATAGAAATTTATACATATATTTTATATACATATATTTATTTGTCTTGCAATTTGCTTTATAGCTTGCTGTTGTTGTTGCTGCTGCCGCTGCCGCTCCATATGGCAGTGTATAAATATTTTATTCGCTCAGCTCAATATGGCGAATGTCGTGCCGCCATTTTGCTATTCGCCATATTTCATTTCCGCTTGTCGTTGGCTTTGTTTGTTTTTGTTGCTGTCGCTGCTGCTGCTTGCTCGGCTGCTGCAAAACTCAATTATTTATGCATGTCACGTCATTTTCGGCTAACCAGCAGCTAAAGCAAAAACACAACAACAACACACTTAGTGGGATAGCAAGGAAATTTTGCGCAGAAATTCAAATGTCACCGCCAAAGCTGCCGACGCTGCGACCCCCTTTTTATTAGTTGTTATTTTTGCAAACATTTTTGCAGCTGCCCTAATGCTCTAATGCCACCGAGGCTTGCCACTGAGGTAGGCGCTGTTTATTACACGTGTGTGTGTGAGGGTGTGTGTGGGAGTGTGTGTATTGTGTGGGTAATGCCTTTATCTGGATTTATGGCCATGAGCAGCGTCTAGGCATGTCGCCTGTTCTAGGCAATCGAATCGTAATTTCGTGCATGATGTTTTCATTTTTGACATGGCGTGCAATTATGCATTGCCTCAGCTGCTGGCTATCAAAAAGTTATAGCTTAATTGATGTTCTGATCGTTGCTGTGAAGCTGTTGGTCAACGTTTCATCCATCCATCAATCAACTTGCTTTTAATATTTTAAGGAACTGGCATTAGGTATACGCTGCATGAACTTGTTGATAAAGCTTCATTTGTTTTTTTTTTCATATGTATATGTAACTTGATGTACACAATGTATAAACAAAAAATACCTTCTTTTTTAAATTAAATCAACACGCGGTCAACAATAAAATTGTATAACAAGCAACGGCAAAAAATAATGAAAACAGAGATGAAAATAAAATAAAACAATAAAAAATCAGGCTGAAGCGGCGCTGACTTCAATGAAGCGTTAAATTGAATTGTTGTCGCCGTTGTAGCCACATTTAATGGCCATCCCTCAGCGCTCCCCACACACCACACGCCCCTCACCAACGGCAACCGCACCCAATGGCATACATAGTCTATTTATATTATTATTATATTATTTGCAATTTGCCAAACAGTTCGCAGTCGGCAGTCAAAGTACAGATACCCAAGTTTTATGGCCATGCAAATGGAAATCCAAGCCACCAACGCCTTGGGCCGATGGATGAGAATGGGGTGGGAAGGTGTGCGTCTGTTTGGGGCAGTATTGGGAGCGTTCATTGTAATCAAGTCATAAATTGCTCAATGCGCCGGACCGGAACTTAAGCAGCGTTCAACCCGTTGCCTCCCAACAAAATGGCGCAGCACGTGACCCACACGCACACACACGCATACACTTGCTAGCCTAAGGATTTATCTCAATGTCCTTCTCTTGGCTTTCAATAAGAAGGGATTAAGTTTAAAAGTAAACTACAAACGAGAACGAGTTACGTTCTATGTGTATGTGTATGTGTGCGACTGCCGAAAAGCCAATAAAAGCACAGATCTCATATCTATACCTACATCAATGTGTGTATATATCTAACTATATACATATGTACAGCCGTTGCCAAGACACTTTAAGCAGCCAGTCAGCGCCTTCGGCTCCGCGCTCGTGCCCGGATCCTTTGCCAGTATGCGTTCTGGCGATAAGTGTTATTTTCGACTGCCAGCTGTGATTCTCCAGCAAAGTTTCATGTTACCAAAGCAACATGGGCCACAATTCCCTTTGCTGCCTCTACTCCTGAAGCCACCCACGTTCTCCTAACCCAGTGCCTTTTCTTGTTACTTTGTGTTTATATCTGTATTTCTCTCTCTGTCACTCTATCTCTCTCTCTCTCTCTCTCTCTTATTCTCTCTCTGTGTGTGTGCCAGCTATAAATTTACTTATCACAATGGGCCACCGATAAGGCGCTAAAATTTGTCTGCTTTAAACTGCAGCAGTTCGAATATTTTTATAAAAGCAATGTTATTTATGTACTCCTGCAGCAGCTTGGAAAAAGAAAAGAAAACTGTGCACTGCCATTCATGGAATCAAATTTCCTGCTCTTCTTTTTTTCCTTTACTTCTCGTTGCTCGTGGAAAATTATGTGGCACATATGCCGAGTCGAAAAACTCATGACTCATTCAGTTGATATCAACGTTTCGCACTTAACTTTCGCACTCCGGCAACGATTCTCGTAGTCATGCTTTAGCTTCATCTAATTTTCATAAGGCCAAGTGGCATTTGTACTCACGAAAATGTGCTTCAGCCATCGCCTTAAGTGGGCGGACTCGCCAAAGGCGGGGCGAGATCTTTGAAACCGCCACAAAACCGACCGTCAATGGAATTTATTCCAGCAGCTATATCGTGTATATATTATAAGCAGCGTGATTCGATTGAGCAATCTGCATATTGCGTTGGAAGCCATTGAAGGTCTTTATTCTTATAGCTTGTAGCTAGGCAATGCTCAAATGCCGTCTTATTACAGCTTTACATTTATATTTCTTTTATTTACGTGCGCTTTTATAATCATTTTAATATACATTTTTCTCCTAATTATAATCATGTTTTTCAAAGAAAACTTGACATTTTGTTTTTCTTTTAAAGCTGACTATATAATAATAAAGGAAGGCGATGGGAATGAGGATTCGCGCACACATACATGATACATTTATTAAAGCTTCACAGCTTCGAGCTTATATAAATTACAAGTTTTAACTGATATTAATAAGTGAAAGCAATCACACAACTGTCATACTAAAACATATTATATAATAAACACACAAACAAAATAAATAAATAAAATGGTCTACAAAAAAATAGACCTAGGTCCATGATAGAAATCATATTATAATTTTAATTATCTGACCGAAATGGAATACCTTTTTATTAAAATATTTATTTTTTAATTTATTTATTTTTAATTGAACAAGTTTTCTACTTCTATTTTAAAGTTTTTTTTTGTGTTTGTTTTTGTTTTGTTTTTTTGTTTACAGCTACTTTAATCTCAATCAAACACAAATACTTTCTGTTTATTGTTAACTAACATATTGTTAACATATATTCATAACTTAACAGTCATGCTAATAGTTCATTTGCATGCAATAATAATAATAATTTTATTTAAATGAATTTAATTTAATGCAGTTCATAGACTCCCAATTTCTCATATTTTCTGCTTCAGCTAGTCTAAGTTTATTTTGGCTCTACTAGATGCGCCTTATAAAGATTGCTAGTTTCGCGTATTTGTTTAATACGTTTCGCTTTGCTTTGCTCGCTGCGGCTGTTGTCTTTGCTTTTTTGTTCATTTTTAGCGGAAAGTCCATAAACTGTTCTGCAAAAGTGCACACCGATTTTTGGAGTAATAATTTATAGGCCAGTTTCGGGACTCGGGGTTCGCGGCATACAGAAATAACTTTGCGATGCTCAATTTGTACAACCATTTTATATTATTAATGGTTAGCATTGTTGTAGCTGGGAACTGGTATCTGGCAACTGGTTGGTTTTCAAAGGATTTGCTTTCAATTCAAACAAATGGAATTTGGGAAAATGCATTTCCATTGTGGCTGGAGGAAGACGACTCCGAAAGCATTTTCCTTTCCCTATGCATTTGTAGTGCGAAGATTTTGGCAGCCTTTTGCTGTGGTGACACATGCCAAAAATGCGACTGCTATGAAACCGGAAACGAGAAACAGCAACAACGACAACGACAGCAACAACAATATACAATAGATAGACGTCGACATTTTGTGGGCATTTTGTGCACTCAACTGCACCAGCTGCTGTGCTGTCTGGGCACACTGTGGCATCGCCACGCCTCCAGACTGTCCCTTGCCTAGTTCTGTTTGCCTTGCTATACTATGTATTTTATGACTTGTTATTGCCACGCCCCTGCCAAAGCAGACCAGAGCACGCCCGGCCAAGCCTTAGCTAACTTTTCCATTCAAATTACAAAAACCAACTTTAAATGCCCTGTAGCCAAGACAGGAGAGTTTCACGTTTGTCTCCACAAATCTGGGTTCGGTTCTGCAGTATTCAAGACTTTTAATGAAACAAGAACCAACTTTTATTAACAGTCTTTTAATAACAGTTCTATAGCAGAATAGAATAATAGATAAGTTTGCATGTGATGTTATATAAATTCGGCTAAAGTTTTCTAGTAATACATGTATATAGAAATATGTATACATATTATCGTGTCAATATAAACTTATATACAAACTCCTTCTAGTAAAGAACAAATGTATTCTAGGCAACACTAATTATGTACATAAATGATTATGTTGATTCATCTTTTAAGGATTTAAGGATTATATTGGTTGATTTTCAAATAAAAATGTAAATAAATAATTTTATTCATTGAAAAACGAGATATCTTCGCGTCTGCCAACATCGAGGGCAACATAAAGAGTTGCTTGTTCTACTTTTTATGCTTTGGCGTTTTCTCCAGTTTTTTATCTTTCTCCTAACACACCCCGCCCCTCCACCCACAGCCTTCAAATGCGAGAAAGCAAAAGCAAACCCAATAGCACTTTAGCAGGTACTATGCCAAGA